GAATCACAGAGTCCCCTCTAGTTTTAAAATATTTGCCTTCTATTGCATTGACTTTTTTAAAGTACACAGGCCATTTACTTGACAGAATTTCTTTCACTATGTATTTATCTTTGGGAAACAATATTACCCAGTTTTAATATTGTATTGATGAAACCTATTAAAAGGTCATGGTCTACATTTTTCTTTTATTAGTGATATTAACTTTGACCATTTGGTTAAAGTAACAAATGTATTCATTTCTGCATCATAAGTGATAATCAGTTGACTAGTTTAAGAATATTCAACATTTCCCCTACAAATATTCACTCAGTGGGCTTAGCATCCACTTACAATGCTTACTTTAATCCAGGACTGGGACATGTGGGACATGACAATATTTCTGTGCTTTCATTCTCTTTACAATGCAATTTGAAGAACTCAAAGGGCCGGGACAAGTTGGGTCACAGACCACATTCCTGGACAAGGCAATCCTTGTTCAGTCCCAGTACAGATACTTACTCTATGTTGCTGCAGACTCCTGTCAGAATCAACCTCTCCCTTTGCTTCATCTCTCCCACTTCCCCACATCCCAGGAAAAACATCTTGGAGGCCTTGTTTTACCATTCATTTTCAAGATACTGTTTCCAAATGAGAATCTCTGCAACTATTGTGTTTTAATGGGCCTTGAGTTTCTCCAGATAGGAGATTTTTAAAAAATAAAGCATATTTTTCAGTTTGAAATAGCCTGAAATGTTTAATTTAATTCCTAACCTACACTCCAAAAGTTGGACTCATTGTTTAAGAAACAAACGCATTTCTTTAAGAAATTAACCATTCAGGGTCGGGCATGTAGCTCAGCGGCACAGGGCCTGCCTGGCAAGCGCAAGATTCTGAGTTTGATCCCCGGTACCAAAAACAAAAGAAGAAATTAATCATTCATTAACTCTTATGCACTGAACACAGCACTAGCAGCTGAGGAAAGAGGGGTAGGGGCTTACAGTAAAGTATTATAGAATGTGGAAAGCTACAGTTTCAAGCAGTTCTTCTGCTCACGTAAAAGTTCTATGACCTCAGTTTCTCCTTTGTGCAAGTGGATAATAGTAGATGCTATAGTTTGGATTTGCAGTGTGCCCCAAAGGCCATGTATCCCCAGAATAGTGCCACTCGGAGGTGGTAGAAACTTTCACTGGTGAAGACTGAGGGTTTGAGGTCCTTGGGAGGGTGCCCTTGAAGGGCACTGTGGGACTGTGGTCTCTGCCTCTTTCTCCTGGGTTTCCTGGCCCTGAGATGAGCAACTTCCTCCACCACAAGTTCTTGCCATAATGCACTGCCTCATAGGTCTGAAAGCAAGGGAGACAACTGACTGTGGACTGGAGCCTCTGAAAGTATGAGCCAAAAGAAACTCTTGTATCTTTGTAAGTTTATCCTAGGTGATTGTTACAGTGATGGAAAGATGACTAACAAAGTAGCTATTTCTCTAAATGGATGTGATGATTTACCTTATACACACAGGTGCATGCACACGTGTGTGCACACACACACATACATATGCACAGAAGCAGCCTTACCTTTTCATAGCATCATGTGAACTAAGTTTTGTGCCCATCTAAGCCTGTCCTAAATTTGAATAGTCCCAATGTACACAGGTTTCCACTAACACGGAGCCTTACAAAAGGAGGTCTTCCAGGATATATAAAGCACTCTGATAACGTGCCCAGCATACTACAAATTCTCAATAGTGCTATTGGTAGTAGTAATCAAGAAACTGTTCACTACTGTAACCCTCTGTCATTCTTTAGCTCCTTTCTTTCAATCTTTCCAGCTATGGGGCAATTGGTATTTTACTAAGAGACCATACTCTAATGCTTGTGTTATTCATCTTCCTCATACTTTATACTCATTTAATCCAGATTCTTCTTAGCAACTACCCAATTCATACTTTATAATTAAGGCATAATTTCCCTAGGTAGAGCTCAAATTCTCCTAGAAGATTCCATTTCAGAGCCAACACCACATCCTTAGCAGACTGGCACCTCTTTCACACAAAGTCTTGGAACTGGTCTTTAATCTCTAATATAGGCAGCTGAACCTCAGAATTCAACAAGGTATCTTATTTGTCTGGAAAGACTCATGGTAAGGCTGGCCCTGTTAGGAGAGGGGCAAAGGAGTCAAAAGGCTCTATATAAGTGATGGCGAACCTTTTAGAGCTTTCTATGATAACAAACAGCCTGCTGCCTCACATGTGCCATAAGTTTGCCACCCCTGCTCTATACCAAATATCCCTATCATTTTGAAGGATCTTGAGAATCTAGGTGCCACTGAGATGCTAAATGAACAGGATAAAGTCCTTGAGGTCTCAGTTCAATTGTGGGAATTGGCATCCTATTTGAGCCAGGGCCCTGGGAAAGGAACATACTGGATTTGTGTGTCTGGGAAATTTACGCAGAGTGTCTTGCTTTACCATAAGGAAAAGGGGATGATCATAGCCATTTTACGGATTTCATAATGAAGTGAAAACATGGTAGTCGTACACGGCAGGCATGTAGTGTATTTTAGCCATCACTATTAGTCGTACCAAAAGAATTTTATTGTTGCTATTTGCATTGGTTGGTGGACATAACTGCCCAGATTCACAATCAGAAGTCAGTTAAGTCATTTTGCTCAAGGTCGTTCACCTTCCTAGGGATGCCCACATCCAGGGACTGACATATGTGAGGGGAGCCATGCCACCTTAGTCCTACCTGGGGCAAATTTGAAGGCCTCTCCTTTCTTCTCGGCTCCCCATGGGATCGATTGACATTGTCCTAGGGACCATACTGCAGCTCAGCTTGTCTATCTGTCCAACCCTGCTTTGTACCTCTATTATGCACAGGAGGCACCAAGTGTGCTCCTAATTAAGTATCCTGCACACTAAACTGTACTACATGGCCAGCTTTACAGGAACACCGCCTGTGACAATAGGGTGGGAAGTGAGAACTCACTCACATGTGCCACCCTGTGGCCTAAGATCTTTGACCATCAGAGCTGAGCTCATTCCAATGTTTGGTGCATCTAGGATGTCCTGAAGGTATTAGTAATTCAGTAGTTCACCCAGGAACTGTCAAGCTTCACAAGATTTTGCCAGGGCCTAGGTAGACCAATCATTTTGGTAAGGAGGATGGGATCCCAGAAAAGCCTTGAACCCCTGCCTGGAAACATTGCGGTGGCTCTGGCGCTGGTGCAAGGGTGCAATGAGCTGCCCAGCCAGAAGACGGGGTTTCCTTTTGACCACACTGTCCAGGTCACAAAGACTGGGGGCATGGGAGAGAGGTGGGGTTTCCCAGTTCCATGAGCTGCTGGTTTCCTAGGACTGTACAGATTTGCCCATTGCTAACAGGTTGAATTGGTTTTGTATAAAGACACAGATTTCAAATGTATTGGGTTTTTTTCCAAAGAAGTAGTTTTTTTTAAACTTCTTTCATTTTATTATAATTCCTTATATGCTATATAAAGTTGCTTTTAGCCTTACAACCACAATTTCTTCTTGCATAACTTTATCTAATTTAAGAAACAAATTCATTTAAACAATAAGTAACACTTCCATGAGCTAACAATTTTAAAAATTCAGTGAATGAATTTTAAGGAAGCATAAACTAATCAATCTATATTTGTAGCCAGAGTGCTCTCAATAAAACACATACTGTGCCCTTTTTACTTTTTAAGAAGAAAAGATATTGCATGGCCCAATAGTTGTTCACATCTTCAGCTCCATTCACCAACTCATTACACGCACACGTGCACACACACACACACACACACACACACACACCTTTTAATTAGTTTCCAACAAAGGTCAAATGTGAAGCTGTATTTTGGAATATAATATATTTTTCTTCAGTCTATTGAGACATTTTAAATTTTGTTTCTTTCTATTAAATATTTAATAAATTGATGAAACTCTGGTATGTTAAAAGAGGCTATTAATTTCTTTTAAATTATAAAAATGTTATCATAACCCTGGTTCTAGATGTAGGTATACTCTCAGGTAAACTGTTATGTTATAAAGCTATCATTTCACGTACTGTCCTTACATTTTCTCTTTGGAATTATTCTTTTTATTTAGGAAAGCATAATGTTAAAGATTGTTTGTTTGTTTTGTTTTTGGTACTGGGGATCCAACTCGGGACCTTGTGCTTGCGAGGCAGGTGCTGGAACCGCTGAGCTAAATCCCTGGCCCTATTAAAGATTGTTATATTGACTAGAGGAAGGGCTGGAAGAGAGACATTCCCTCTTGTTTATTTATATTCTCTCTATACACCTGAGATCTGATCATAAATTCAGTAATGAAGTAAAGAAATTAGACATCTCTGAGCCTCCACTTTTCTTCTTTGTGAAGCTACGTGTCTCTTTTGAATTCACAGGGCACCCTAAATCCTGGCCAATTCCTCTCTCATAGAAGGGGGTCGCAAGATGTCATCCTAAACCAGAAGAAACTTTTCAAACTACTTCTAAATTTTGTTTTTATATGATAATTTTAAGCAAAATTAACAACAGAGAAAAGATTTTTCCAATTCTTTTTCTTTCTTTTTGCCGACTAACTTTTATAGCATAATTTTTAAAGGGATTATTTTAGGCAACCGTATTTTGCAAACTTCACACCTGAATTGTACTTAGCTTGTCTTTAAAGTTGAATTTGCTTATTCTGGAAAGTAATGGAAAAACAATCTCATCGATTTTTAAAGAAATGACAAATAAATAGAGTTTACTTTCTGATTGCTTTGGGATTTTATTGTGTGTGTTCAGGACCACAAGGTATAAACTAAGTGAATCAAACTTCTATGGCCCATATCCTCATATCATATCACTTAATTCTTTTGCCTGAAATAACACAAAGGTTTTTAAAAATTGTATAATATACTAGCTGTAACGAATATTTTACTCTGTAAGCATAGTAAAATGTATCTTGTGTTACCAAATGCCATTTAAATATTTTTGATATTCTGCGAATAAAACCCTCACTTAAAAATTTCTATATAACACAGGTTAGAGAAGATTTCCTGAAAAGACTTACTTGAGGTCGAGTGGCTGCTGGGACAATGATTCAGGTAATATGAATTTGCTTTCAATATTTTATTCTTCCTTTGATTTGCATTTTACTTAGCATTTTAAATTTGCTTTCAATGAGGCATCTTGTCACTATTTGGTTTGCAAGGCAGCAGTTTTCTCTCCTTAGCTGATGACAGTTGCCCTGTGTGTACAACCAGCAGTGTCTGATCATGCATAAAGAAACTGACCTCCCATACACATATCTCATTTTGTGGCTTAATGGGAATTTCTGCAAGTCTAGTAAAAGGGTAGTGGAATCTTATTCCTAAGTGTCTAACTCTTTACTCTGCTTTGTGATAATACTCTTTTCTTTACTTTTAGTGTCTCTCACTTGAATTTCTTTATTTAACCTTGAGAGAAAAAAATATGCTACAATAGTTTATGCAAAGATTTTGAAATAAAAGCATAGTAAGTAGCAAAACTGACAATAAGTTTAAATTTTTATCTACCACCTGCACCTCTTTTGGAAGCTAGTTTAGATTTTGTGATTCATGGTATTATTAGAATACTTCCTCTGGAGAAACACAGACATTTGTAAAACAATAATGATAATGATGGTGATGGTGAGAAAAATAAAATTAAGAATAAAAACAGTCCAAAAGTTGGTGCTATGTGAGGTGATCTACATTTTTGGTCCTTCTGAAGCAAAGACAAATTTTGTGATTTCTTCTCATAGCAAGTTTGTCATTCTCAAACATATAGAAACTAGAAGTTTCATCTTCAGTTCCATATACAAGCCAGAGGTTTCTCTATATGAAACTTGAAAATGACAAATTTCCCATCTCATTTTATCCATGTAGCACAATAATCCCATAGTCTTTCATCCATTTTTTTACCTAATATTTTATTATTAACTTCCTGTCCATCAGTCTTACTTGCTTTTAGATTGCAGGAGTTACATGTATTTCAAAATGTCTTGTCAGTGTGTTCTCTAACTTATTGTCTGCCATACTTACTTAAGAATGTGTGATTTTTATTGTCGACTCACTTTTTTCTCTCATTTCTTTCAGTACTGCTGGTGTGGTCCTTAAATATGGATTTGTCCCCTTTGCTTTTTTATGGTGGATTCTATTGTTTTATTTTTTAATAACAGGAAAGATGAATGCCTAGTACAGGGAAGGAGCTTAGTCGATGTATAGGTAAATAATAACTGAATTAATTATTTTAAATCTCTGTTCACAGAAAAAACTATATTCCATTCAAGAAGCCCAGATACTTGAGAGGGAGAGCCTTTTGAAAAACAAAGCACTATATGCCCTTGCACTGGCAGAAATATTGGAGCCTCTACAGCAACTAGAAGATGATGCTGTAAGAATCAGAACTGTACGCCAAGAACAGGCTGATGTAAGCATTTATTATTAAATCAGAAACTCATTTGTAGGAACACTGAGGTCGGTAAATCAGATATGTGAGTTTCCTGGAAAATTCTGACCTCACATAGAAAAATCATGGACAAAGTAACTCTTTCAAGATCATAAGACTGATCTACCAAGACACTCTCTTTCCAGGCCTATTTGAATGCCAAGCTCTTACAGTGTACTTAGATAAAAGAAGTTTTCAAATAAGTGAGCAATGACTTATCTTTTGGGATTGCCCACAGTGGTAGATTTAATTTAAAATCTTCACCACTTCTCAATGGAAAGCTAAAGTTATGTTTACTCACATATAAAATATCTTGGCATTTTCATGGTAAATGTTTGATGCATGTAGAAATTAAAGACAGCTATGGTGAAAAAGAAAGAAAACATTGCTAAAATATTTTCAAAACTGCAAGTTTCTGGCAGTAACTGATATTACTAGCCCTTCCCAAAGAAAAAAAATTAGTAGAAAAAATATATATACACCCTCTCATTAGTCTTTTGGAGAAGTGGAAGGTGTGGTAAGAGTTATATATTCTTCACCTTTCTTGACAGAAGTACACACCATATATTTATTTGGGCCACTTGGGCAACAGAATTTTTTCTTTGCAAATGATAATAGAGCTTCATATTCTTGATCATTAATAACTTTCTAAATGACTTTATTTTTAAAAGATTGTGTTGTTATTATAAATGCTGATTTGGATCCTCAAAGCCTCCTAAAAAATAGACAAAAGGAAGTTTACTTGTATGATAAACTAGAAAAGACTTGAGCCTAACCAGATCATAAAGTATAAATACAATAACTTCTGTGTACTACTCCACTTAGGGCTTCTAAATGCTGTCCTTGTGGTAAGCTAACAAATATATAACCAGTACTAGTACCCAGTGGGATAAATGATTGTAATAATGGCTCCTCCTTACATTAATGATGGAATTTTATTAATTATGTCAAAATCATCATGGAAGTTTCTGAGTATAATAATTAATCTAGAAAAGATTAATGACTTCTGTTTCCCCTTATTTTATAATAGCCATGGTTTTATATCTTCTTATGTTCAGTAATCATTTTTTATCTTATCTTACTATAACAGTTAATAAATTATAAAAACTAGTAAATTAAAAACTCTAGGAAAGAACTTTTGCACACTTTGTGTTAATGATTGCTGGTAATTTGTGTTTATAGCTAAGTTTGGTTGAAGTATTTTAGATATCATAATGAAAATTTATAATTTCTATATAAATTTGAGGGCTTTTTGTTCCTTGATTTAAAGTGATAATATGTTGCTTTTCTCAGGTAATGCAAATAAAATATTGGGAGTTTAGATACTGTGGAATGTTTCTGTTAGTTATGTGTAATATGGTTCTTTCCCTTTATTTACCAAAATAAAAATTGTCTTTATTAAACTAGTTACTATTTGGTCTAAACCAGCATAATTGAGGTATAAATGTTGCATAATTTAATATCTGAATGTCTTCTAGACACTCAGTAATGTACTTCAGAAGGAAAAATATGTTAAAGCAAAGGTGGAAAAAACAAAGCATAAGTTGCGAAGAAAGGGAAGGAAAACTCGTGATACACTAACAAAAACTGAGGTGAGAAATTTATTTTAAAAAACAGATCTTGCATTTACAATTTCTTTGTGTCAGTAAAAACTAGTCACAAAGTTTAATTTTAGGTGATGTCTTGCATTTCTAATTGTTTGCACTAAATGGCCTCTGCACACGTGAGTGCTCACACACATAGGCAGTCGCTGTATCTTTTCCACTGGTTTACTGTAAGGACCTTGCCCCTAATCATGATAAAATGCAAAGCAAAATTCATGTTGGATTTGTGTAGAAGTCTGCTGCTTTCTGTACTTGCCATGCTAGCTCCTATTGCTTGGAGATTTAAGGGGAAAATGAAGATGAAGATAAAAAAGAAAAGAAAGAAGGAGAGAGGAAGGAAAGGAAGAATGTTTGTGTGCCTCCAAAATTCATGTGCTGAAATAATCTTCAGTGGAAGAGGATTAAGAGGTACAGTCTTTAGGCGGGGATTAGGCCATGAGGGCTTGACTGTCATGAGTGGTACTACTGTCCTTATAAAAGAGGCCCAAGGGGACTTGCTTGCCTCTCCACCACGTGAGGACACAAGAGGTGCCATCGTGCAGCAGAGAGAGCCCTCCCCAGACATCAAATGTGTTGCTGCCTTTATCTTGCACATTCTAGCGGCTGGAAAGCTATGAAATAAATGTATGGGATGTATACATTACCCATCCTAAAGTGTTTTGTTATAGCAGCCTAAATGGTCTAAGAAAGGAAGGAAGGAAGGAAGAAGGAAGGAAGAAACAAAGGATAGAGAAATGGAAAGAGGGGAAGAAGGAAAATATGAGAAGAAGAAGGGAGAAAATGCAATTGCATTAAACTTAATGAAAAGTAAAAGATTATACTTTTAATTGATGGTTGGAACCTTTTATGCCATAGCTATTGTTTAACTTCATATCTACCAAAGATCAGATTTAACACAAACATGCTTATAAACCAGAAAATATTTTCAGATAACCACTTTGAATCATTCATGTAAAATATCTAATTTAAAATTAAAATTATACCATAGTTTAATTATATATGTTAATATTCAAAAAGAGGAAAAAATTAATTTAAAAAGTATACAACTCTTTACATTTTAAGCCAATTTCTAGTATGATTTGGTTCTCAGAAAACATCTTCAGTTAAATTCTAAATTCTTTGAAACACTATTGGTGCTGCACCTCATATAAAATTTATCTCACTAAGAAGTACAGCTCAAGGACCAAACTATAATTTTGAAAGATTTTTATTTCCATTTCATAAAGGACACTGTGGCCTGAATTTTACTGGTGCTCCATCAGCCCCAAGCCACACTTCTCCTCCATACCTCTTTCCCCTTCCCCTCAGGCACAAAACAGTTGGCCTCGACTTCTCAAAGTCACCCTTGCTCTTTGGCTCATGTCTATCTATCTCTTCCTGAAGCTGTGTAGCTAGAACACTGTAACATGTCAGGCTGACAAAGGCAAAGCTCACTTTTTCCAGTGAAGATGGGTATGGAAACCAAAGTTAATTGGCAGAGTCAAAATCAACATTCTTAATAGCCCACAGCTGGAATAGGCAAGGAAAGAGACACAGTAACTCACATGAACGGGTGTGAGCACAACTGTGGCAGGATGGAAGAGACCACAGGGTGGGGTGGGGAAGATTGTTGCACAGGTCACGGGGAGAGCTGTTGGAGAAAAGAGAGGTTGAAGACTTGTGTTGCCGTGAGATTGTTCAAAACAGAAATAATACACATGAAAAACCTAAAGGAATAAGGGAAGTGTTGAATGATCTCCATAATTATTATTAGCATTATTATTATATAATTTTAACTTCATTTTTCTCATTAACAATTAATGATTTAGAAACAAACTATATTTGCAAAGCAAAGAAATCATGAAAGAATGTTGTACCTTGTCGAATTGCAAGTATTCACATCAGGAATAATTTGCCCTGCTACTGAACCCCAACCCCAATCAAAGAAAACTAAACCTGTTGCAATATTAACCAACATTGATTAGCATTTATTAAGTACTAATTGGAGCTATTTGTATACAAACAATGCTATGAACACCGTTTCTGTCTTTTCAAAACTTAAATCCTGGGCCGGGGATTTAGCTCAGTGGTTCTGCCGCTTGCCTTGCAAGCACAAGGACCCGAAATCGATTGTAGGTACCAAAAAAAGAAAGAAAGAAAAAAAAACAAACCTAGGTCCTAAGACAAATAATTTTATTTTTCACTCTGAATAAACCTGTCATTCATGAGTCAAGCCAACCAGTATTACTGAATTTTTATTAGGTTTAACCTCAATTTAAAATTTAGTTGTAGAATCTGAACTTGCTCTATTTCGATAACATAAAAATATATTTATAAAATCAAATAAAAGTTTAAAATATAATCTGCAACATTTAAGAATCTAAATATAATTTTATTGTCTAATACTTTAAACAAGTTTTTCAAATAATAAAGTAATATATAACTTTAAATGGTAAAATATTGACTACATTTCTTACTTACAGAAACTTCCAGGCCTAACTTTTAGAGGAAAGCCTGAAACCAATGTCTCCCTCCAGGGTAGGAAAAAAATAATCCCAAAGAATAGTCAGCTTACAGAGGCACTGCTTTTATGGCTCTCTTCTTAATCACTGTGGCAATACTTCAACATTTGTCAAAAGAGATCTAAATAGCTATGCAAGTTTCCAAGTTTTTGTCATTCAGGATGTGTAGGCTTGTACTGTTGAATGACATGTGGCATCATCTGTTTCATCTCTCCACACCCAGCCCACTGTGGGAACATTTGTAATATTTTTGTGCCATGAAAGGAGACATGCTGTCCATCCATACCTACATGTTACTCATGCTGTCTGTTAAAAGTGCACAAATCCATTTTTTGACTTTCACTGAAGTCTCACTTTCTCTTTCTTCCCTTTTATTGTAGAATCTACTAGTGACACTTCCACCATTGGTAAATTGGCTGTCATGTCCAAGCTGTTAATGGACATAATTTTTCTGAAGTCTTTTCAGTTTTCCATGACAATTCTTACTTCAGACTTAAGAATAAATATGGAATTGGACCTAAAAGTCAAGTTTTGTGGTAGATACTATGTGGCACACAAAGTTGTGCACACCTTGGCTCTGTTTACTTTAATCTATACATATGCCCTCTGTCCTGTTTCTTTAGATCGACTCATCCCCCAAGCAATAACCCAACTTTCTGGGGGACAATGACAGATACATATCTAGTAATCTTTCCCCTACTTTATGGCACAGGAGAAAAAAACCCTCTCATGTATTACTGGAAAAATTCCAGATCTTCTAGGGGAAAAAAAGAACAAGATGAAAAATAACAATTAAAACATAGTACTCAGTGTATTCCTATCTTACAGACAGCAAATTTTATAGAAAATGAATAATAAAAGATTAGGCATCCTTATTGAAATCTATGAGTACAGAAAAGATTAGGGAACATATGAGGAAGAGAGGAGCGAGGAGAGTAAATAAGATTTGTTGGATCAGTTGGAAAAATTGCAGTGATAAGAAGCAAATATGGATGTGGTGAAAATATTCAAGAAGTCATTAAATCAATCAGTCAGTCAGTCAATATCAATACTAACAGTAAAGAAGGGATCATACAAAGAGTGGCAAAATCACAGTTTCAACTTGGATTGACACAAGTCCATCATGGGAAATTGTTCTGATAGTAAATAGCAGCATCTTTTGTTGGAAAGATATTCTTGGTCACCTGCCAACATATGCAGTAGATGTTCAGAAACCAGTGGCCACATGTTTGCATCTTGAAGCAATGTATTTGGAAGGTGTGCGTGGACACCCATGTGTATGGATGTGTGCACGCGCGCACGAGTGTGTGTAGAAGGGACAAGTTTGTGTAGAATAGAGTGGAAGACAGAAAAGAAGACAAAATAGTTTTAGCCCATCTTTTAGAAAATTCATTACATGTAATAGTGAAGAACATAAACCTAAGTTACTCATATTGATAAGAGGTTACCATTTGCTTTTAATCATTCACACAGCCAATATAACTGTGTCACAAAAATGCAAAGATTTGAAAGTTCACGTATTTAAAATAAAACATCTATGAATTTTTTTCAGGGTAACCGCTCAACAATTTTCAAAGAATTAGAGTCTACTAAAAGTAAAACAATAACTTACAATGCAAAAATAAATGAAATGAATCAACAATTACAAGAAAAGGAAGAGGAAAAGGTAGATTTTGATCAGAAACTTGAAAATTTGTCATAAGTACTCAAGTTTTATGAAAATATTAATTATATTTTAAATATTATTGATAAAATATAACTGAAGTTCCATATTTAAAAATTTATTTCTTAAAACATCCATATTTTCCAACTGTATATGGAATTGTATGTGGAATGTACACATACATATTAATCAGTTTTTGTTTCTACAAGCCTAATTACATATTCATTGCTTCCGTTCTTCATTGCTGCCCTGAGTTTATTCTTTTTGGAATAACTGGAGAATGTGCTATGGTTTAGATGGAGATTGGCCTCCCCCATCCCCCGAAGCCTCTTAGGCTCAGAGGAGGGACCTTTGAAAGGTAATTGGATCCAGAGGGAGCAATGCACAGATGCTCCTGTGTGTTAAATGTGAATAAGAAGTGGATTACGAAATTCTGATAACAGAGCTGGGTGTGGTGGAAAACACTAGAATCTCGACACTGGAGAGGCTGAAGACAGAGAACCCTGGTGACTTCCAGGTCAGCCTGTGCTTCACAGTGAGCTCAAGGCCACCCTGCACTACGTAGCAACCTGTCTCAAAAACTAAAAATAAATAAAACCAAAAGTCTGGTAACAACCATAATGAAGAGATTAAAGTACCTGAGTACTCACTGTTGAACTGCTGAATCAACAAAGACAGACTGGATTTTAATTCTGGTTCTACCATTTCCTATCTACCTGAGGTTACACAAGTACTAACTATGGGAATGTGGGTTCCTCTGCTACAATTACTACAATTATTACTTCATAGTTTTTTGTAAATTACAATTTTTATACAATTTTACAATTTTTATAAATTACAATTAATTTTGTAAATTAAATTAGATATTATAAAAACACCTTTATAACATTTATTATAAAAACGCCTTAACATTTTATCCCTTCCAAAAAATATTAGTCTTGCTGCCTTTATAGCTAACTACATAAGTGATTTAATTTTCTATTATCAGTAGAGATATCAGCTAATGTGGGCAGCATTAAGGCTGTGCTGAGCTTTTACAACTATGCTTGTTCTATATTGTGCATTGTTCCTTAAATTGCAATTATTTCTTTAGCATACTTGTTGCCTGTATCATCTTAACCACCTTCTGAGGTTTTTTTCTACTAGTATTGTTCCTTATGTAACTATTGAGTTCACTATAAATGCTGTTTTATCTCCATAGACTGATGTAATTAATTCTAAATAAGAAAACATACACATATGCAAAGAGAAGATACATACACTATACACTTAGGCCTTTGGAAGGAACTAGAACTATTTTCCAAGTTTTTTCAGTTCTAAGATTTTTTGACATTGTTGTTTTAAAAGTACCATGAACATATTTCAGAAACTAAAATGAATTGATTAGTGTGACCTAAAATTCTTTCTTCACAGAAATATATTTGTAACTATGAGATATAAAAAAGAACATGCACAAGCTGTGTTTGATCATCTCATGGAAGAGAAAAGAGCCTGTGAAGAGAAAATCCTTCAAGAAGATCAGGAATTTAGAACACTCCTTGCTAAGAGGCAAAAAACCCTAGCAGATATTAAAGTAAGCATTATTTTTGACTGTTGTAAACATGAAACAAATATAATGATAGTCAAATCAGCAACATGTTTGAGACACTCATTTTTAATGTTCAAATAGCAAAAATGTATAGATTTTTGAAATATTTGGGAATTTGTTAGCATAACATATAGTACTTCATTTTTATTCTAAGTAATTATAATATATTCACTAAGCATATTGTACTTTTTGATGCATTTTATGAATATTCTCATTTTATTATTGTGTAAGCTGTATATATTCTAGAGCCATTTTTATATTTTTAATGGAAATGTGAAGATGGCTCTGTTTCTGAGTAAATATACATTGGATGTTTACCATCCACCCTTGTGAGAAACCACAGTACTTCATAGTCTTTTGTTTTACAAAAAAATTTGCCTAATATTTTAATAATATTGTGTATTTCCTTTTTAACGACAGGGATATCATGATAAAATATATCTTTTACATCTGAATTTTTATTAATCAAATTTTGTTAAGGTCTATATCAAATGTTTTATATAGACTACAAATGACACACATTTAGTTCAATGATTCTGATCCAACTTTACATTTTGCAATGGTTTTGTCACATTTAATTGTAATGAAGGAATACTATAGTTTTTTTCAATATTTTAGAAATATTATTTATTTTTGAGATATACTTTGGGAATTTTTTCCTTAAAAATGAACATCCTTTACTATATTAAAACTATTTTCTGCAAAAATTGTTAATATATATGTATTATAGTATACGTTTATCAGCTATTTTATTTCTGATGTTTATATACAAAATTAATACATACTCAATTATGACATATGTGTGTATTTCTTATCTTTTCATAAGTTCAAAAACAGTGTTAGTAATTTAAACAATTACTTGGAACAAATGTACATTAAATAAACAAGGATGTGGGTAAATGAAAGTACCATATATAGTGCTACTGTGGTGGTCCATTCTATAATAAAATTATTAATAAAAGAATAATATTAATAGTGATGCTATTATTATTCTTGTAATTAAAACTACTAATAATGGTTTTATTAATAGCGGTGCTAAATCCCATTTTTCTCTTTTGAATGTGGTCACTATGTAGAAAAAAAATTTTTTTTTTTTTTGCCTAAAAATATGAAAATTATTGGTGCCATCTAGTGGCAACGAATGATGCCTCCTTGCAGAGGGACTCCTGGAGCCTGATGCTCTCAGGATGTGAGACTGATTGGGGACATTTGGTCTGAAAAGTACCTCTCACACAAGAAGACATAAGTTATTTACTTGCATAAGTGTCATTCCTCACCTCATATTTTATTGCAACAGTAGAATTAGTGATTTGAATTCAACCACATTTTCCAGTAGTACTGATGCTGAGAACACAGTGGGATCTCCATAGCCATTTATAGACTGGCATTTCAGCACTTTAGTGGAACAATAATAATTATTGAAATGGCAAAATATGGTCAGCAGGAGATAGACAAAAAGAAAATCTCATATAACCCACTCTTAGATGATTAAAATTACCATTTCTTTTCATAGAAACGCTAGCCCTTGCCTTTGTGTTTCCAAGTGTATCTACCCACAGCCCCTTGGAAGCATCATATGATCTCATGGTTTAGTTCTGAGCTCTATCTGAACTGGTTTTGTTCACTCATTTGGTCTTGATTGTTGTCTCCTGGTCTCCTGCTAAAATAACGACTTCTCTTTGAGGGCAGAGAATTTTCTGTCACATTCTTTTCTCTATCCTGAAAACTCAGAACTATGTCTAGCACTGAATAAGGACTCAATAAATACTTGTTGGGTGAATGGATGAATGTGTGCTACTTTTGATAGTTTCTTCGTGCCTTTGCATGATAATACTTAGAAGCAAGAGCATTTGGAGATACTTTCCCTACTGCTCCAAACTATAGTGAATATTCATACTGTGTACAGAAGCTGAATTTCTCTTTCTTATTCTTCTCTTTCCATTTTAATATAAGAGAAATTTGTCTTCCTGCCCTCTAGTGAAATAGTAAACCTGCCTCTTGCTTTCTAGCACTTAAAGATACTATGAAATGCTTGTCAAATACCCTTAAATTGGCATGAAGTTATCTCTTACCGGTTTATTGGCTAGATTTTTGTTATGCATTCACCCAATGTGACCAAAACATGTAAGGTTTAGTGACCAATAGCCTTACAATTAATGTGTTATTTATGTATGATTATCATCACTTATTGATGTCAAGTAGTAGAAAGACAATATGGTCCCTTCACAGTAAACAATCTCAACCCTGTTTAGAAATTGATGCGTTAATTTTGCAAATTTGTGTATAATGTAAAGTATTCCTGGAAAGAAAAAAGTCTTACAAAGGCATCATTATAAATGTGGTGTTAGGGGAGTCCATTCTGGGCAAAAGAATTGATCACAGTTATGGATAATCTATAGAGATTGTTTACTGAAAGACTATAAAAGCCACTATAGAATTAATAGAGGAGGTAAGAAAATACCACATGATTAGAAATACAAAGAACTAATACCATAATTTAAAAAGATGCATAAACTTCAGATACAACACAGATATATACTTTGGCTCTGAAATTAAATTCAGTCTCTCTTTAGCAGGAATTTCATATCATGAACATTTCCATGGGAGTTTTTTATGTTATGGCATTTTTACTAATTTACTGTAAATTTACTAATTTACTTTAATTTGTAGATGCAATAGCTTAAGAAAAAAGTTTCAGCACAGCATATTCTTCATTCTTCTATTCATATTCTTCATCAGCATATTCTTCCTTGCTTTTGTAAAGATCCATGCAAAACTAGAGTTTACAGTATTTCAATCTGTTATCGGTTGTATAAGAAGGCTTACTGTCTTTTCTATGTCAATATCTCTTTGCCTTTTTTTTTTGTAGAGAAACTCTTCTCTATAATTAAGGTTATACACAGGGAGGATGAGAAACTACCCTGGAAGAACAATTTCCACATTAAATTCTAGCAGAGACAACTTCCCAATATATTCTAGAGTTTACTAGTTTTTATTTTGCTTCCTATTCCCTTTTCTCAGGAAATATCTCTTTCCCCAGCTATAGCCATATTTGACTATTAAACCAACATTTGGCCCTTAAACATAGGAAATTCTTAGTTTAATACAGGGTGAATGACTCACTGACTCACTAAATAATCAGGTCTTGAAATAGTAAAATGTCAGAAACACATTTAATTTCTTAGATAATTTTAAAGATTATAACCTATTCGCCTCTTAACACTTTTTTTTTTTTTTTTTGTATCGGGGATTGAACTTGGGTCCTTGCACTCTTAAGGCTGGCAGCAGAACCACTGAGCTAAATTCCTGGCCCTTAACATTTCTTTATTTCCACACATTACTATGTTCAATCAATGTTGGGTTACCAAACTGGCCTCAATCTTAAAAAAATACATCAATAGGAGGTTAGAAAATTTGAAAACAGATGTGAATATACTGACAATGGTCAAATAACAAGCAATAAATATTGCCCCTGTGCACTATCCCAAATCATTAGGGGTTATTATGAAAAAAAAAGCACTGCATATCCCATGATCTCAATAATAGGAAATGAATATGTAATAAGCTTGAAAGTAGGAGAACCGAACAATGAATTTTGCAGGCATGAATAATTTTCCTTCATGATAACCTTCTTGCCACCAAAACTATTGCACTGTATCATGAAAATTTGAAAAATTAAGAATGTTGTTTACATAACTAATATTTCTTTAAAAGTACTTGTGATATGATTAAGGATCAACTAATCAAATATAGGAATATGAATTAGGCCCACCATGCTATTTTTCTTAGTATCTTGTGGAAATCTATAGCTCTTTGAGAAATGAATATTTTTATTTGAGGACTGGTAGAAAGATTGTGAATTTTGTATTAGGAAATGCTTCATGTTTTGTCACAAACCCAGTGCTGCAATGAACTTAAGTACTCAGAAATCTAGGCAGAATAATACCAAAGCACAGAGCAGGGATGGACCAATCAAATGGGTGTTCCCTAAATATAAATTTAATATATTTTGAATCTCTTCTTTAAGTGAGAGATTTCTTTTCTTTTTGCATTTCTCTCTTGTATTTTGTCATTCCTTTCTGCTCTCACTCAGAATTACTGCTAATAAAATGCTAAGGCTCTGTATGTATGAAATTTGAAGAGATGCTTTATTTGTTTCATTGGCAACCAATACCATCCCAAACTTTTATTTTTTAACAACCTACAAGGAATCAATTGCAATATTTTGACTATGATCCATTTCAGTTTCCTATATATGAGTATTTTTTCTTTGAAAACAACTTAGCTATTATGGTTTTTCCAGACCACCTTCATTTACCAGTGGAATGCTTTTCTGCACTGCAGAGTAACATCAAAAATATATACTTTTTTCTCTTTGGGTCAATTAAGTTAATTATATCTTGAGTTCTCAAATATCAAACTTCATTCTTAAATATACTTTAAATGGTTATGGCTCATTAACATTTTAATACATTATCGGACTCAATTTGTAATCATTTAATTTAGAATGTCTATTGTCTGTTATTATTCTATTTTGTACCTTGTTAAAGATATTTGTATCAGAGATTTACTACAGATTTTATAACTAAATAGAAAGTCCCCCTTCTGTGTTAAGTAGCATTGGACATTTCTGATCCTTAAAGATGTGAGACATTTTTCCATGACATTATAAAGGTTTATTAAAGGTCTGAGATTTTACTCACTTCACAAGCTAATAAATTAGCAGGCCACAATTAGTAGGTCTCAAACATGCTAACAGAAGACATGACACTCCTGGCTGAGAGACAAAGGGTTGTGTTACACACTGCATACAAGGCAGTGTGAGCTTCATGTTCCTATAGGCTGCCCTGGGCTCCAAGTCCTATGGTGGTGATATGAAAGAGGTGGTGAGGGCATTACGTATGTAAAAGATTTTTATCATCACAACTGATGAACCTTGAATGTAGGAATCTCTGATTTTAAAAGAAGGCCTGTAGCAAATTTTC